AATGGGGATGACTGTAGAGAGAAAAATTACATTTCAGAAGAAAATCTACAGTACACACGTTATTATTAATAGATTGTAGCCCTGTTCATTGTCTTCAAGTTTTTATTATCTACGTCTAAACTGGACTGGATCCTGAATTCTTCTAGGGTCCTCCAATCCAGTTTTCTCCCACTGAATCACTAAGAACCAGAATCGCTCTGTCTGAAGCCCTATAGCTGAAGCTGCACAACTTGATATAAACTTCATGGGACAAGTCTCCTGCCTGATGTGCGGGCCACACAGGGAGTTCTCAGAACAGCTGATGTCACAGCCAGAGGCATCCAAACTGCAAACCAGCAGGAGGAGTTGATAACTACATGCCGTGGATGGCTTTTCCCAAGATGTCAGAAGAGGACTCCTTATTGTAGTGAAATTCTTACCTCTTAATTTTTCCTTGGTACGCCTGCTTCTTTCAACGTAGCTAGAATTTCACAATCAGTAGCTTATGCAGGTAACCTGATGAAATGTTGGATACACAACTGTTGTTCAGATTAGACTCGTGGTCCCTTTATAACACACAGTCAGATTCTAGATCTACTTGCTCTCACTCCCTGATTTAATTTAGCTCAGTCGTGGGATTCTAGATTATCTACTACCGGAGCAGGGAGGAATCTGTGCAGTTGCCGACACTTCCTGCTACATAGGGATAAAGACTTCTGGTGTTATAGAGAAGCAGTTGCAAAAATTAGCAGACTACTTAGTTAAAATGGGTGGACTCCTCATCTAGCTCATTCTTTGATCTATATGATGTCAGCTGGTTGGGTTCATGGGGACCCTGGCTAGGGTCCACTCTGAACTCTAGGTATTATCCTCCGCGTGGTCGTAATAATGGTCTCCCTGGTGCACTGTATTCTCTCCCAGGTTTTAAATGTTTGCACACAGCCATCTGTTAATGTCAAATGATCTCTCTCTGTCTGGACTGACAAAAATCCGAAGAAATGCATGATCGTGAGACGCTGTAACCTGTGAATGGCGTGCCGAGACGGGAAACCCAGCGTGGTGGCAACTGACAGCAGCGCTGATGCCCTGAGTTCTGGTCGCGCTCTCACCAAGGTTAGAGCCGGACCAAAAGGGAGAATCATTAAATAAAATTTGTGGGAGGTCATTGGTTTGGACGGAGCCCCTGCACTGAGGCCCAACTGGCCAAACCAAAATGGAGCCACTCGTGCTGAAGTCCCACGCGCCAAGCGGAAACTAAGTTTATCTGACCTTCCGTGGAATCAGGAGAGCGAGAGGTTAAAGCCGGTTTTAGCTGGCTTGGGAAGGACGTCCCCTCTGCTTTAACCCGTGCGTGGAAAGTAGTTGGAAACGACCAGTCCGCTTTTTGTTCCGTTCCCACTTTCCTTGGCCTTCTCTGTACCAACCCCCTGTGCCCAGCTCATCGCAACACCGTCCTATGGTATAGAACGAGGTGTTGCCCAATTCTAGAATCGCAACTAAAAGCCAGTCGAGATCTTTAAATTTGTTGTAATTTTGTCTTTCGACAGCCCTCAGACATAGAGTGTTTGAAGCGCTGATCCAAATAAAGTCAGTCCCCTTGGCGGAGCTGTGGGGCTCCTGCCTGTCCCCAGAGCACAACCCGCAACCACTGCACCCGGGCTGGGGGCAGGACCTGCTTTTCCTGGAGCCACGCCCTGCTCGGCAAGTGAGCACTGGGGGCCACCAGGATCCAAGTATCGTCAACCTGCCACACCTGCAGTAGAGCTTCCTCCCTCCAGGCCGGCCTGTGTGGGGAGGTCCTGGCTGCTGTACCTGCTGGAATGGGACAGGGGGGCAGTGTGGAGAAAGGCCAGCAGCCTGCCCCTCCCAGGGAGAAATGGAGACGCAGACCAGGAGGTGGGAGGCGAGGGAGCCCTGTCTTTTCGGCCACACCTGCCCAGAGTACAGCACCCTACGTAAAATTCCCGCAACACAGAACTGGTGGGAGGTGAGGGGAGGGCAGGTGTATGATTTTTTTCTGTCACCAAATACGTGCCACTCTTCACACCAATTCTCCAATTCTCTAACACCAGCTGGGTGGCCAACGTGAAAATAAATAAAATTTTAAAACTGTTGCAACCCCAAAAACAATAAGCTGTGTGAGAGACGTAACTATGATCTGAGTCACACAGCGTGTTTTGCAATTCTGTGTCTTAGATTATAGCCTAACTCTCTTGCTCATAGTTCTTGTTCTGTAAGTGACTATTAAAGACCAGAGACCAGACCTCCCTCCTCCAATCAATGATCTTTCTTGTAGATTAACTGCCTCCTTTCTTGTCCTGTGCCTAACGCAGGGGGCACCCAAGACCCCATGACTGTTACATCTTCAATGTGGCATGTTAAGTATACCTTTCCCAAAAGAAAAGGACCACCTCGACTGGTCAGATTGTTGTAACTATGCATTAAGCCCTACACGGAAGGATGCTGAAATTCTGTTTCAGTCCCTAAGCTTGTCTGCATAAACAACCCCAAACCTCCGCACTTGGGACACTGATTTCCGTCCTCTGGATTCGTTGCTTCCTGGGCAGGGCCGTCCTCAGGCTTAGTGCTGGAATAAATTCTCTTTGAACTAGATTTGGCCCCTGCTTTTGATTATTTTAGATTAACAAACAATTCTGTTCAACTGACAGTGACTGCCCGGAGTTGGCGCAGACCCCGCAGGTCAGGGGATCAGCCCCACGAGACTGCCCCCTGCAGATGCCAGCCACCAGTGGGATGCCCAGGCCACCCACGCTTCTGCCTGGACAACTGCAAATTCAGGGCTTCCCTCGACCCCCTCCTCAGTTTGACAACTTGCTAGAATGACTTGCAGAACTCAGGAAAGCACTTCACTTACTGTCGCCGGTTTATTATAAGGAATAGAACTCGGGAACCGCCAAACAGAAGGGATGCAGGAAGCGAGGTGGGGGCACCTCGATGTATTCACCAGCCCAGATGCTGTCTGAGCTCCTGAACCCCGCAGTCTGGGGGTTTTTACGGAGGTTTCCTTATGTAGGCATGATCGATCGAATCGTTGGCCACTCAATCTCCAGCCCCTCTCCCCTCCCTGGGGGCCGTGGGGAGAGAGCTGGACATTCTAACGCTCTAATTACAAGCTTGGTCTTCTGGTGAGCAACCACTGGAGCTGTCTGTCCCAACGTGTCAGCTCACGAACAAGCTCAGGTACGGTTAATGGGGGCTCGTTATGTACGGCAAAGGCTGCTATCACTCAGGAAGCTCCCAGGGCCTTAGGAGCACTGTGCCAACAACCAGGGACAAAGACCAGATATATATTTCTTATCATACCAGAGAGGGTAAGAGTGTGGATCATTCCTCAAACACTACAGACACAGTTTCACCGTTTTTGTGAAAATCTGGTAGATCTTGAATGAAGGTTTCTCCATTTACTGCATGCCTTAGAACGATTTCCAGAGACTTTAAGTGATTCTTTCTTTAAAAAAAAAATAACCTGGCCAGTTAAAGCATAGCTTTGCTGGGAGAGGCCCGTCAGCCTTATGATGCCATTCCGGAGTCCCCGCCCCGTGTGGTTGCATTCAGGTCACAGATGTTTCCTGAGCCCCACCGCGTGCCAGCTTTCGTCCTAGGCTGTAGGGAAGCAGCCAGGAACGAGGCAGACGGGGTCCTTGTGGCTCCCAGTGGTGGGGGTAGTATTAGATCACACACACATGCACACACATGCACATGCACACACACACACACCCTGAATGAATCCCTGTCACATCACCATGCCACATGCTCCAGAGGTGGGCGAGGCAACAGGGCATGTTTAATGATGTCCTTCCCTCCAGAGCCTCCCAGAGGTGGCACTGACCAGGCCGCCCGCCTCTGTCCTGGGCTGATGCCAACTCCTCTCAGAAGACCCAGCCGAGAGACGGGCCGCTGATGTGTGGTCTGGCAGCCCCAGCAGCTCAGGGCCCATCAGTGTCAGTCCCCAAAGGAGGACACAGCAGGCAGTTGGACAAGTAGCAATGAGGTGTCCTTGGGGCAGGTGGTGGTGGCCTATGGCCCCAGAACAGGGAGCGTTGGGAGAATCTCCAAGCAAACCCCAGAAGGCACTATCCTCCAGCCTGCAGTGTCCCCTTCCCTGCCCCCAGCACCTGGTAGGCTGGCCTAGACCAGCTGGTCACTCTTGCCATGTGACTGCAGCCATCCTGGTGTTGACAAAGGAGAGGCACACAGGTCTCAGAGCTGATCCCTCCGTGGGCTCAGGAAAACAGGCATGACTGGCTGAGACCAGGGCTGGGGATGGGTCCACAGGGGCACACGGCTGCCAGCAAGACACCTGCTGCGCCCCCTGCCCTGGGGTGCTGTGACCCAGGCCAAAGCTACAGCATGGGCCTTTGTGTGCCCGGGGTCAGCTTGGGCAGATGGGCCACTTCCATTAAGCTTTGTGGAAAGCCAAACCAGCCTCTGGACAAGGACGTCCCAGGACGCCAGCGTGGGAGCCTCCGACATAAAACATCCATTTCTTCCCGTGATGTCTCCCCACCCCACTGTGGGTGAAACCGAAAGAATGATCTTGCTGTGTAGCTGCGTCACCAAAGGATTACAAGAGGGTCTCAGAGACCTCGGGGGAGGCATTCCCTGGGCTGGGGGCCAGGTGACTGGCTTCTTCTGGTCCTGGGGGGCCATGAGGAGCCCATCCTTTTCTCCTCCCTGGGTCTGCATCTCGAGGTCAGCACAAAGGGGCAGGACGGAGATTTCTAGGGCCCCGGCCCACTCTCACATTTCCCATGTCACTCGTTTCCCCCCGTAAGAGTGCCCTGAGAGCCTGGCGTCCCGGTCTGAGATCCCACTGCCCGGGACCCCGCCCAGGGCCCCCATGATGCTGGCTGCCTTGGAGGGGAGGCACCGGCAGGAAGAGGGCAGGGACCCTTTAAGCCCAGCCTCACTCGCTCAGTCTGTTGCTATGTATGGGACCAACTTCCTTAGCAACCACCAGCCTCTTAAAGGGGCCCTGGGAGCAGTGGTTGCCCTCAGCCATGGCTCCCAAAAAGAAGGCAAGCAAGGGGGGCAAGGAGCCTGAGGTCAAGAAGAAGGGGGGCAAGAAGGAGGCCGGCGTGATCCTGAAGCCTGTGGAGACGCCCCTGGCGGAGGAGACGCGGGAGTTCTACCACATCCAGATCCGAGACCTGGAAGACCGGGTGGCCCGGTGGGTGGGCCGGTGGGCAGGAAGCTGGTGCTCTGGTCAGAGGCCCCACTCCAGGGTGGCCACCGTGCAGGCTCGGCCAGGGACCCTAGACCTGTGTTCTGGCCTCCCATGGGATGTCCAGCCCCCACCCCCACCCCAGCCTCAGTTTCCTCATTAGGTACCATTGGGAGGCTTTGAAATGCTGACGATAAATGGATTTCCCCACCCCTTCTCAGGGGCCAGAGCCCTGGGCCCACCCTAGGCAAGCTCCACTCCCTGCCTGCCCTACGCCTGCCCATGGATCACGCACTTTAGAAAAGGAAGAGTTTAATCAGTGCGATGAGTTATAAGGGCGGCCCCCTGGCGGGCAGGTGGACCATGTGGCCCTCTACCCCCTGGAAGTGGCGCCTGTGCCCCTCTCACTTACTCAGCTGCTGAGCCCAGGTGTTTCTCTGTGCTGGGCCTCAGTTCCCGCAAATGTAGATGAGGAAGGTCGATCCCCCTCTGTGACTGTGTCATTCTATCCTGGGGCCTGTTTTGTGGTGACGTGGGTGGTGGCGGGGAGTGATCCTTACTCTTCATTTGAGACTTGTTCACCTGCTCATCCTTTTTCTCATTTTATAACCAGTTTCAGGCCATATATGGGGGCTCATGCCTGTAATCCTAGCATTTTGGGAGGCCAAGGCAGGAGGATGTCTTGAGGCCAGGAGTTCAAGACCAGCCTGAACAACATAGCAAGACTCCATCTCTACCAAAAAAAAAAAAAAAACAAACTAGCCAGGTGTGGTGGCACTTGTAGTCTCAGCTACTTGGGAGACTGCAGCAGGAGGATCTCTCGAGCCCAGGAGTTTGAGGTTGCAGTGAGCTGTGATGATGCCACTGGACTCTAGCCTGGGTGACAGAACGAGACCCTGTCTCTAAAAACAAACAAATAACAGTTTCCTCCCAGCTCTGAGGCACCACCCGAGTCTCGAGGTGACCCTTAACAAGACAAAGCAGTAGGCAGTGGCTCTTCCCCAGACAACTGATGCTGCAGATTATCCCAGCTAATGCTGAGTCCTTCTTGGGCACTAGGCAGGCCCTGTTCTGTTCACTGCGTCTCTGTGACAATCCCATGAGAGGTCCTGACATCATCCTCCTTACACAGACAGGGGTACTGAGGCTTAGAAAGCGGAACGCACCCCCAGAAAGAAGAGGTACCGGGAAGGGAGCCCTGTCCTCCCTGACGCCCTACGCCAGGCTGCTTCCTTGATCTACAAAGGGCGTTCACCCCCACACCCCTGAAGTGCCCTGTGTACAAAGCAGTAGCCATCCAAGAGATGCTGGTTGCAGAAATTACTAAGTAAAACAACTTTCCAAATAACTTCAATTATTCCATTGGAACCAGTAAATCAGTTATGTGACACTGCTTAAAATTAAACAAATGTCCCTTAAAATTCAGACTTCCCTTGCACTGAGACATCGGGTGGGATGTATTCAGGGAATGTGCATTTAGCAGGCAGTTACTGGGCGCATGCTATTCGCCAGGCCTTGGGAATGCAGAGGTGGGGGACAGGAGTATATTATCGGGTCTCTACCTCCCAGTGGGTCTAGGGCCATCCTACGGGAGGGCACCAAGGAGAGGGCCACAAACATTGCTCAGGACCACAAGGGTCCACTGGGGAGGCAACACGGGGGTCACTCAATGGACAAGGGTAGGGGAGATGGCAGGTGCAAAGGCTTGGGGTTGGAGTGCTAGGGTTGGGGCCCTAGCACCAGTGGAGGTGCTAGGGAGGGGTGCAGGGCTGGCCGACTGCAACAGCAGGGATTGTGGCTAAAAGCCTTGGTTTTAGGGTCAGGTTGACTCGGGTTCAATCTTTGCCATTTACTAACTGGGAGTTTCTCTATCCCTCTGAGCCTCAGTTTCCTCAACTGTAAGTGGGGATGATCGTCATAGTGTCACAGCACCGATGTTCACATGGGCTGTTGTGAAGATTCAGCAAATGCACACTGTACACCTGCTGTGTACCAGGCACAGGTGTTGGGGACGTACCTGTGAACACAGCAAAGGCTCTGCCCTCATGGAGCTTACATTCTAGTGATGTAATGAACATAAAAAGCTGGGCACAGGTGTAGGCCGTGGTTGTGACCACCCACCATGGGGCACAGTGGGAGACCAGGCTGGATTCAGACCACGAGGAACTTCACATGGCCCTTTATAGGCGGTGGCGCAGGGGTTCCCGGGAGAGTAGCGGGCCCAGCCGCACCGGAGGCTGGGCTTGCCTGGCCCAACCCCAGGACTGCTGCCCACCCCTGCCCCAGGTACCAGCGGAAGTGGGATGAGCTGGCCGTGCAGGAGAAGCTGTTCCGCCAGGAGTTTGACCAGCTGGCCAACAGCAAGAAGGAGATCGTGGCCTTCCTCAAGCGCACGCTCAACCAGCGGGTGGATGAGATTACGGACCTCAATGAGCAGCTCCAAAACCTGCAGCTCGCCAAGGAGGTGGAAAAGGATGCCTTCGAGGCACAGCTAGCCCAGGTGCGCCACGAGTTCCAGGAGACCAAGGACCAGCTCACCACGGAGAACATCGTCCTTGGTGAGGAGGGGACTGGGCCGCGAGCCTGCAGGCACACGCCTCAGAGGCACAGGGTCGAGGGCACAAATCCCAGCTCTACCACTGACTGTACCTGTGGCCTTGGGCAAGCACTTCTCTCTGACCCTGCTTTCTCACCTGAGCAACAGGGATAACGTGGCTACCTTGAGTAGCAACAGCCATGTGCGTCTTGGCACACATTATCTTCCTTAATTGTCCCAGAAATCCTTCGAGGCAGGAAACATCACCACTACCCCAGTTGTAGATGAGGAAGCACCTCGAAAAGGTGAAGTATCTTGCCCAAGGTCACCCAGTTGGCAGGGGCTTGTTGAGGAACAAATGACAGCATGAGCACCTGGCCCAGAGAAGGTATACAAATGCAGGTGCTGTTGTCATTGTTCCTTTGTGAGAGGGGAGGAGAGGAGAGTAGCAAGGGAAGCTGCTTAAAGGAAGTGGAACCTGAGCAAGGCTTCGTAAGATTCGTGAAGGGGAGGACAAAGGACATCCCAGACAAAGGCAATAAAGGTGGCCAGGACCAGGCATGGCATGAGCAGGGACAGCAGACCAGCCCCACGGGATCAGGAAGTGCAGGGAGGGCAGGAAAACGTGGGCAGGAGAGACAGAGATGTGGGGGCCTCGCTGCCCCCACCAGGCCCTGCCCTCCAAGGCTGCCCCTCTTCATCCTTGTGCCCTGCGGTGGCCAGCGGGGAAGCTGGCAGCCCTGGAGGAGTTCCGGCTGCAGAAGGAGGAGCTCACGGACAGGTTCATGTTGCTGGAGGCCCAGCTGCGGAACCAGGAGAGTGAATACAAGGACTATGTATACAACCTGGAGAAGAAGTCGGTGCTGGACAAGGACAGGTGGGCAGACGGGGCGTGCCCTCTGCAGCCTTTGCAACGTCATGGCTGGGGCCACACGCATCCCAGTCTTCAGGCCTTAGCCTCCCTCGGCTTCCAACTGGGGGGACTGGACTGGGTCACTGACCCCCCGCTCTGCTGTCTTTGGAATCCCGACGGGCGATTTATGGAGGGGAGTATGAGTAAGGCCCGAAGCTCTGGTCCTTGTGCTGGCATTGGAGACTCCTGGACTTCCTTTTGCAACATTTGGTGGTTTAAATTGTATTTATGTAACAGGTAATTAAAATGGTTCAAGTTCCAAAGGTGCAGAGGGTCTATAGGGAAGAGCTCCCTACCCATGGCCCCATACTTTTGGAGGGGCAAGCAAAGGTTTTTAATGGCCCTAGGCACTCTGGGGACCCCACGAAGGGTGCCCAGGGCTTGTGCCCACCCTGCCTGACCCCCTTGCACCCCACCTTCCTAACCAGACTCAGGAAAGAGATCATCCAGCGCGTGAACCTGGTGGCCACCGAGTTCCGCAAGGTGGCCACTAACCAGATGTGGGAGACGACAAAGCGGGCCATCCTGGAGAACAGCAGCGTGACCCTGCAGCTGGCCAAGGTGTCCCGGCAAGGCATGCAGCTGCTGCAGGAGAATGAGCAGCTCAAGGGCAGCCAGGACGAGCTGTGCAAACAGCTGGAGCTGCTGGAGGACACCCAGAAGGTCATGGCCAGGCACAGAAGAGGCCACCAGAAGGTGCGCCCGCAAGCCCTGTCCCAGGGCGTTTGGCGCATATGGCAGGAGGGAACCCTGAGCACCCTGCAGGGGTAGAGCCAAGTAATGAGGGAGGGAGGCCACGGGGGGTGGGGGGTGGAAGGAGCTCCAGGGTGCCGGGCCAGCTCTGGGTTTTATTTGCTTTAAAGCAGAGCCACCCCTGGAGCTGGGGACTCTGCTCAGCTCTGCTTGGGGCCACCTGCTGCACCCACAGATCATCCTCATGCTGACCGAGAAGTGCCAGGAGCAGCAGCAGAGCATGGCGGAGGCCAAGCAGCTGCGCCTGCTGCTGAGCCGCCTGGAGCAGAGATTCCTGCAGCTGCAGACTGACAGCCAGGCCACCAGGTGTGCCCAGGAGGGCCTGGGTGGGCGGGAGCAGGTGGACGTGATGTTCAAGCCCAGCCCTTTTTGGCCATATTACCCTGGGCCAGTGACTTCCCCTTTCTAGAGGGGCCTGTCAGATAGGCTGAGGCCTGGGGCTGGATGGGGACCCTGTGGGCTGGAGAGAAATGGCAGGGCCCATGGCCCCAGGTGGCACCAGCCACAGCCCAGGGAGGGGGAGGCTGTTGACTCATCCGGAGCCCGGGCCCAGGAGCCAGAGAGACCAGCTGAACCTGCAGCTGGAGCGGCAGCAGGCTGAGGCACAGCGGCTGCAGCAGGAGCTGGCCGAAGAGCAGAGGGCTCGGGCCAGCCTGGAGATGGCCCTGAACCAGGCCACCTCCACCCTCCAGGACATTCTGCAGGTAAGCAGGAAGCAGAAGAGGGTGTGAGGGAGCAGGCCTGGGACAGAAGCTACTCATAAAGAACAGGCCTAGAAGGGGCTGGCTGGGGCCAGCTCAGAGGCCCCTCTTGCCCCTGAGACACTCCGGGCAAGTGTGTCCTTCTCTGATTTGGGACTTCAAAGATCCCTCCAAGGTCTCAAAGGAGCTAGAGTCCTTCTCTGAGGCTCTAGAAGGCCTCAAGCCTCACTCAGTCTTCCCAACAGGAGAATGGGTATCCCACCCCAGCCAAGAACACCTGGGGGAAATGGGCACGGGGCTGGGGTTTCCCGGGGGAGGGCAGACAGTGGGGCCCTTGTGGGCCTGACCCCCTGCCCCACAGCAGATGCAAGTGGAAGAAGAGGAAGGCGTCTTCGATGTGATGTACCAGCTGCACTGCAAAGATACGCTGCAGCAACTGCTGGCCATGCTCAGCTCTGCCATGGCCCTGAGACCCCCAAAGGCTGTGTGTCCCCGCCAGGAGTCCCAGCCCCAAGGCCCACCCAAAGAGAGGTGAGTGGGAGAGGAGGCAGCATGGGGAGCAGGGCAAAGGGACCTGTCCAGGGACTGTGCTCAGCTGATCCTGGGCCGGAAACCTAGCTGTCCCACGTTTCTCTGCACCTTGCCTCCTCATCTGTGAAACGGAGGTGATGCCCCCCCCGACTCCCCAACAGCCGGTCCAACATCCAGCCGCCCAGGGTCGGGTCTCTGCTACAGCAGCTTTCCAGCACCGCAGCGTACCAGCCCGGGGATCTAGGCCTGGTGCCTTACCAGGGCCACGTCCCACCTAACCCCCAGGACCTCAGGCTGCTCTCACATGCCACCCGCATGAGGACCTTCCGGGCACACAGCACCCCTGAGGTGAGGGTTCCAGGGGCCCTAGGGACAGCAAGGTGGCAGCCAGCCCTGGGTACAAAGTGGGGCTCTGCCAGGCAGTAGCTGTGTGGCCTTGGGGATGTGGCCAGACCTCTCTGAGCTTCCCCATCTGTAAAATGGGCTGAAGAAAGGTGTGGCCAGGCCTCAGAGGGCTAAGGTATGCCTACGCATCACCTGGGGGAGGGGTGGCTGTTGTCCCTTCCCCCACTGACAGAGGAAGGGTGGGCTCCCCCTCAACAGGCCTCAGCTTCCAAGATGGCATCTTTACTCTTACAGATCCACGCCTCCAGTTCTCTAAAAAGGCTCAAAAAGTTTAGTCTTCCTGATGTTCTCCTACACCCCAAGTAGGACACAGAGAGAAGACCGACCCCATACTCCAGCAACGGACCGTTCTAGCCACAGTCCCCCCCTTTAATCTGTAGGCGGCCCGGAGCAGCCCAGAGAACAGTGTATAAATGGTGGATACCAAGGTTGGCGTGGCAGCTCTATGGCCGTGGCTAGGTCTGTGGGCACTGCAGTCAGGCAGGCAGCCATGGACACTAGTGTCAGGGGCTGACACCTGCTGAGGGCCCCTGGCTTCGCTCACGGATGTGATCCAGGAGCAGGTCGGTGGCTCGATCCAGCAACAGAGGCAGCAGCTCCTGCTCCGAGGGGGAGAAACACCCCAGCACGTAGGCCTGTACTGCCTCAGGGTTCGTTGGGCGCCCGATGCCCACCCGCAGCCTCGGCATTGCCTGTGGGGGAGCCAGAGGGTCCCAGGGAACTTTGGTGAGATGTGTAGGGGGACCCGTGCTGGCCCACCCGACCCAGTGCAGGACAGAGGGGCAGACTCACACTGGAGTTGAGGCAGCTAATGCAGGAACGGACTCCATTGTGGCCCCTTCAAGGGATACAGGAGGGGCAGTTAGTGCCTCCCTGGGTTAACACCCTTCCACCCCTCCCTGCCCAGTCAGAGCAGCCCATCCCTTGCAGAGACTGGGTCTGCAGCCCTACTCCACCCCTACTGGGAGGCCAGCATCCCCAGCCAACCCTGACCAGCTCAGGGCCTCACCTGGCACTGCCCCCCAGCTTCAGAGCCAGTTTCCCCAGGGGCTTGTCCAGCTCATCGTGCACCAGGTAGACCTCCTCCGCAGTCAGCCCAAACATCTCCGCTTGGCACAGGGAAACGGTGGCTCTGGTTACTGCTGCTCTGCCCAGAAGGGCATTGTCCCGACTCCCATAGGAGGGGCCACAATTAATCCTCATTCACGTATAAAGAAACTGAGGCCCCTACAAGCACCCATGGCCATGCAGCAGAGCTCAACATGCCCTTGGACGTGCGTGAACCGGGGGATCTGTCACAACCAGAGTCCCCTCTCTGGCCCAGGCGCCCTCCCAGTCAGCCCACCCCCTGACATCCTCAACTCACCGGCCCGGGCCACGCTGCGCCCGTTGGCGTTCATGAGCCGCCGCGGCCGGAGCAGGACCAGCTGGGCATCCCCGAGCGGGGCCAGGGCGAGGTCGGCGGCGCAGCGCCGGTCGCGCGCCCAACTCTCCGCCACACCTAGCCGCCGCGCCAGCTGCCCCAGCACCGCCATGCCCACGCTGTGCCGCGTGCCGGGCAGTCCCGGGTTCCCCAGGCCAGCCACCTGCGGGCAGCACCAGGGAAACTGAGGCCCAACAACTCATGCCACCCCGGATCGCACAACGTCCCCTGGGCCCCAAAGCAGAGGAGGAGAGAGGCAGACCAGGGCTGGGGTGGGTAAGGGGCGCGAAGAGGGGCCCAGAAACCCTCGGGGACTCCAGTAGGCTGGGCAGGCAGGGGCCTCCGGTGCAGCAGCGGAGTTCCTGAAGTTTGGAGCCCCTCTAGTATCGGACCCATTTTCTAGATAAGAAAACTGACATAAGGAATTTGGGGGACTTTGGCCGGGACACAGTGGCAGAATTGGAGCTAAGGCCCGGGAGCCCCTACGTCGCCGTCCCACTCCACTCACCAGCCACCGCTTCCCCGGGGGCCGAGGCTCCAAAACGCACCGGCGCATAGCCGGACTCCGCCACAGCCCGGCGCGCAAGAGGCCGGGCGGCGACATGCTGCCCCCATTCACGGCCCGGACCCCGCCCCCAAGCGTCATCCATCCCGCGGCCAATCGCGTCGCCAACTGTCCAGGGGCGGCCGCCAGCGTCCAATCCGAGCCGGGCAGCGCGGCCGCCATGCTCCTGAGGGGCGGAAGCGGCGGGGCGGCGGCTGTGTGGCGGCCGTCCCGCGCATTCCGCGGCGCGGCGTCACCGTGTCCCTGTGGGGTTTGTGTGGAACTCTCGGAGCCTTTGCTTAACCTTCGCTGGGAGAAGGGGGCTTCGTTGTGCCCCCCCGCTATGGCCCTGCCTCGCGGCGGAAACCGGCAAGTCCTTTCCCCGCTGCAGGCCTCCACCTCCCCAGCTAATAGAAGTTTCCTAACCTCCTTCCGGCGGCCGCAGCCCGGGATGCGGGGGCGTGGCCAAAGGGGCGGAGCCTGTGGGCGTCCTGGAGATGGTGCCTAGCAACGTCGGGGCTGGGGCGGCTAGGGCTTGCGAGCCGCGAGGGTGTTGGCGCAAGCCCCGGGGGCTTCCTGGAAGGGGCTCATGGAGGACTCCAACGAGGTGCGGGCTGGGGAGGAGGACAGCGCAAGGCCAGAGGGCCAGGGTGGAGAGACCAGGCTGCGTTCCCGGGAAGGCTTGAAGTCGGGAGGGGCTGGGGCATTAGTGCAATTCAGGAAGGCCCTGACCGCCGTGCCAAGATTGGAGGGCTTGGGACGTGTGGCGGGCCAGGAGGTCGGAGGGCGGCCGGAGCTGACGGTAGAGATGGCCGTGGCCCAGACAAGAGGACGAGGGAAAAGGAGGAATGAGAAATTTTGAGGAAGTGGAAGATTTAGGATTTGAGGGCCGATGGGACATATGCCTCTGGCTTAGGTAGCTGTTGGGGAAGGTGACCTCACGGAGGTGGGAAAGCCTGGGCAGACGTCAGGTGAGGTGCTCAGTGGCCTGCTGGGTGTGAGGGTCCTGCAGGATATCCGAGGGGCTGCAGGATCCCCTAGGCCGGCAACTTGAGAGAGGGTCTGAGCTGGAGGCATTAGAGCCTTGGGTGTCGGTAGCTGGAGGTGGGAGCTGGGAAGGCCCAGGAGGAGAGCAGAGGGTGGTGTGAGCTGAGGACCCTGAACCCTGACCTTGACGGTAGGAGGGGAAGAGAGACAAGACTGGAGAGAGATGGGTCAGAACAATGCTAAGAGGAAGGGGTCTGGGAATGCTGCCCCACCCCCAGATTGTGTGTGCCTCATTCCTCCCCTCCTCCACCCCGTGGAACCCTGGGGAGAGTGGGGGGTGGTGAGGGCTGCTTCTGAGGCTGCCCCAGCTGCTGTCCCTTTGGTTCTAGGATGCTCTCAAGGTTGACCAGTCTCCCTCACAGAACATCCCAAAGCCACGGGTGATTCCAATCCCAAAGGGGACCGTGCAGCGCATCTTTGGGACCAACCAGGTGTTCCAGAGCGTCTGTGATGTAAAACCAAAGGCCAAAGGGTTAACAGTGCCCCTCAAAGTCAGGGAGTAGTAAGTGACTACCTTGCCCTGGGGTCCCAGGTTTCTGGCCTACACAGCCACTAACATGCTGTGTAGCCTTGAGCCAGTTACTCTCTTTCTCTGGTCCTCAGTGAACTCAACTGTGTCGTGGGGCTCTTCCACCTCATCAGATAAAAGGCTGATGGCCTGGATGGACTCTAAGAATGCCAGCCTGCCCTCCCTGGTCTCTGTCTCTTCCCCCAACTCCCCTTCTTCCCCCCACCCTTAGCCCCTACCCCAGCCATATGCCCTGGGCTGGTCCAAAGTCAGGGCCAGCTCCTCTACCTGTACCTCCCTGTCCCCACAGCTACCACCAAGGCCAGCTGTGCTTAGAGGAAGAGGACTGGGAGATGGCTGTGCTACTCTTCTCCCGCGCCCTCCACCTGGACCCCCAGCTGGTGAGGGATGGGTCTGTGTGGGCACAGGCAGTTGCTGGCACACACTTTCCCCCTCCCTGTCTGGGCCCCTCCTCTCTGGGCCACCCAGAGGAGCTTCCTACCTGCTGGGACCTGGGTGTCAAGCCTCAAGGAAGCAGAGTGCTCCCCCTATTCTTAGGGGTGCCTGGTGGGGAGGGGACAGCAGCCATGTCCCCTCACCCTCAGGTAGAATTCTATGCCCTGCGGGCAGAGGCCTACATCCAGCTCTGCGACTTCTCCTCGGCTGCCCAGAACCTGCGAAAGGCCCACTCAGTCCAGCCAGAGAACACTAAGTACCTGGAGCGGCTCACCTTTGTGCTTTACCTGCAGGTGCCTGGGGCTGCCCCAGGCCCACGCAAGGCGCCCACCTCTCTTTCCAGCTATGGGGGGCTTCTTTGCTCTTCGGACCAGCTCTGTCTTCCTGGGTGTCTCCTTGTCCCTGTTTCTGTGTCCCCGCCTACTGCCCCCTCACCTCCCAGCTTGGTTTACTGCCAGGGAGAGGTAAGTCAAATTTTACAGCATTGGCCAATAGAACTTTCCGCAATGACAATGATCTTCTCTTCACTGTCCATTATGGTAGCCATGAGCCAAATGGAACTGTTGAGCCCTCAAAGTATGGTAAGTGTGACTGAAGAACTGAATTTTACCTTTTTTTTTTTTTTTTTTTTGAGACAGAGTCTCACTCTGTTGCCCAGAGTAGAGTGCCGTGGCGTCAGCCTAGCTCACAGCAGCCTCAAACTCCTGGGCTCAAGTGATCCCCCTGTCTCAGCCTCCCGAGTAGCTGGGACTACAGGCATGTGCCACCATGCCCGGCTAATTTTTTCTATATAGATTTTTAGTTGTCCAAATAATTTCTTTCTCTTTTTAGTAGAGATGGGGGGGTCTCACTCTTGCTCAGGCTGGTCTCGAACTCCTGACCTTGAGCGATCCACCCGCCTCGGCCTCCCAGAGTGCTAGGATTACAGGCGTGAGGCCACCGCGGCCGGCCTGAATTTTACTTTTTGTTTAATTTCAATTCATTTAAATTTTTATAGCCACACAAAGCTAGTGGCTATTATCTTAGATGGCACAGGTCAAGAGTCTAGCGGCTCTAAGCACTAAAAAGGTAATAGCCCCGTTTGTCATTGAACATAAAAACAATATTAAACCATAAAACACCAACGAAGTCCTGATTTTTTTCTATTTTGACAACTTTGATGACTTTTTTATGTCAAAAATTATTTAATGCTTAAAAAGAAACTTTCAGGACACCCACACCATGTGCTTAATGTGTCTTTTGGGGAAGTGTGTCCTGCACTGCAACTTCCTGTGTGCCCGTGGGGAAGTCATTTCTCCTCTCTGAGCCTCTCAGCTCCTTCATCCAAAAAGGGATGCCTGCGAGCGCCAGTGAGATAACAAGTTCAGCTTCTTGGCAAGGGCTGGGCACCCAGAGCCCTGGTCCAGGCTGTAGCCTGCTACTGTCAGCTCTGCTGTTCTCTTCCACATTCCAGGTTTCCTCTGTTTCTCTCTGTTCGGAATTTCTCTGTATCGCTGTCTCTCCCCAGTTCTGTATCCCTCATCTCTGTCTCTTCAAGTCTCTCCCAGATCTAGAAAGCTCTGTCCCTATTTCCCACCTCTCTCCCCTTCTGCCCCATCAGTGGCTGCAGCTGGGCCAGGGTCTCAGGCAGAGTTGACTGTCCCCTGTGTCCCCAGGGCCAATGTCTGTTTGACCAGTGCGCCTTCCTCGACGCCCTGATTGTCTTCTCGCAAGCTTCCGAGCTCCAGCCTGAGAAACCCTGTTTCCGTTACCGATGGTGAGTGCCCTGCCGACCCTCCCTCCCACAGCCCCGTCCTGCCCTCCCACCCAGGAGACAGCACCCTCTGTCCCCCCTTCAGCATGGCCTGTCTCCTGGCCCTCAGACGGCATCAGGACTGCCTCTCCCTCATCACCAAAGAGGTGAGGCAGGGCACCACCAACGCTGACATCTACATCCTCCGGGCCAGACTCTACAACTTCCTCCAGAAGGTAGAATAGGGAGGGCTAGGCAGGTGCGTGGTGTCCCCCACAGCCCAGGAGCCCTCAGTGTGCCCAAGATTACAGGAGGAGGAAGGCCGTCAGTGTGGAGGGGCACTGTCCTCCCTGGGCAGCCCCGCAACTGGCCTCAGCTGCCCTGTTGGGTAGTTGGGGTAGTTGTCCCATCGTTGCTGGGCCTTGGCTCTGTGCCATGCCTGTCCTGAGCCCCATGGAAACCACAAGGCAAAAGACCCATGTCATCCTTGCCCACATGGAGCTCATGGCCCAGGGGAGACATCCCTGAGCAGATAACGTGTGAAGCATATCCAGAAGGCATCCATGGCACCATGAGATAAGGCAGCCCTTCCTCCTCCCCCCTCCTCTTCCCTTCCCTGCTTGAGGGCAGGGGAAGGATCCAGAACAATGCCCAGTGTCCTGGCTTGGCCTGGGTGGTGGGGAGTTGGGAAACTCAGGACAGGGAGGAACAGGTGGGTGGGAGGAACAGGGGCCTCCTTTCCCCAGGTGGGGACATCCTGGGGGTGGCTGGAAATGTGAGCCTGCAATTCCGGAGGGAGCAGTGCTGCCCACCAGGTGTGGCTCCAGGGGCGAGGTCACCCAGGGCCTTGTCCCTATGGCGAGGGGCTGGGCTTCAGTGTCCCACAAATGATTCATTCAATGGCATGAGACTAGTAATTACTGATAATTCTTGTTGGCTGTGCAATTTTGCTGCACCTGCCACCTCAGCCTCTGCTGTGCATAGTTTGTGAGGCACACAGTAACCCTTGAGGTGGACACCACCCATTGTCCTCTTTTCACAGAGGAAGAACCAGCCCAGAGTGACTTGCCCCAGGTCAGGCAGCCAGTTCTCAGTGACGCTGTCTAGAGCCCTGCTCCTGGCTTCTGCCATTTCCTTCCAGATTTCCACTTACACCTGCTGTCCACACTGTTTGTCCTGTTCACCCTCCAACCAATTGCCCTATGGGAAACAGGGTGCTTGCTAAGACTGTTTCTTGACTGACTGACCGACTGTACACCCAGTGGAAGGCATTTGCCGGGGGATGTTTTCTGCTCATACTTGGACCTGAATCTGTCCTTGGTCAGAGTTTTCTCAGGCTTGAAGGTCAGAGAGTGAGTGAGGGAATGTAGGAGGTGATAGAAAGAACACAGCTGTCATAGCCAGGAGGTCACCCCCCCTCCACCTCAAATGAGCCCCACAGGAGTCCTGCAAAGAGGTAGCATCGGCAGAAACCATTGAGGCTGACCTGGCTCACCTGAGGTCCCACCTGGAAAGGGAACAGCAGGGATGGGGCCTGGGAGGGATTTCCCCACAGTGCTCCCTGTCCCTTCAAGAGGCAGAGAAGGAGGGATGGGGGCACCGAGGAGGGATGGCATGATGGCAGCCTGCCCAGAGAAAAGCCCCTACGGGCCTGGAGGCCTGCCCCTCCTCCCTCCCACTGGGCCGGGCATGGCCAGTTCGGCCTGTGCCTCTGAGCCCACCCCACCCCTGCAGCCCACCCTCTGCTACCAGGACCTGCACAGAGCCTTGCTGCTGGATCCCAAGCACCCGCAGGCCAGGGCGCTGCTCAAGAGGATGGTGGAGCAGGCCCAGCAGGCGCGCCAGGACGCCGGGATCCTGGCCGTGCAGGGGAAACTGCAGCACGCGCTGCAGCGCATCAACTGCGCCATCGAGAACAACCCTCTGGACCCCAGCCTCTTCCTCTTCCGGTACTGGTGGGGAGGTGCTGGCCTTGGGTCCCAGGCCCTGCCCTGCCACAGACTTGCTGTGTGGTCTAAGGAGTGTCCCTGACCCTCTCCAGGCCTCAGTTTCCCCATCTAGCCTCTAATAATCTTTCCCTACTTCCCATCGGGGTCAAGGTGTCACGGAGGTGGTCTCTGTTACTGTTCCCGGAAGAGGGGCAGGCGGCAGCTTGCCAGTTATCCCAGGAATCCTAGAATCCCAGGCCTCCCAGCAGTTCACGCTGGGAGCGTCGGCCCGCTCGGTGGATGAGACTTGGGTTTGAATCCAGTCTCCTTAACTTACCATGTGATTTGGGGCCAATTAACCTCTTTGAGCCTGGGTTTTCTCATCTAAACAGTGGGGTAACTTGTCTGTCTTGCATACAAAAAGGCCTTAACATGGAGGCTGGCACATACCTGGCTCCCAAAAAGAAAGAAGGAAGCCATTTTTGAGAAAAATAAAATAACCAGTGACTAGCAGGTTATCTGAGTAGCGATCCAGAGCCAGCCCCACGGGACAAACCCAGTGCATGGGGCAGGGGTCGTCACCACCTCCACAGGACGGAGGCCCAGAGCAGCAGTGGTCGGCCCAGCCACTTGCCAGCCAGTGGGGGTGCATTGGCCCTAACGTCCCTCCCTGCTGCCTGCGATGCCCTCCCCTAGGGGCACCATGTACCGACGGCTCCAGGAGTTTGACGGGGCGGTGGAGGACTTCCTGAAGGCGCTGGACATGCTCAGCGACAGCCAGGAGGACATGGTGCGGCAGGCGCAGCGCCAGCTGCTGCTGGCCTACAACGACTTCGCGGTGCACTGCTACACTCGCGGCGCCTACCAGGAGGGCGTGCTGCTGCTGAACAAGGCGCTCAGGGACGAGCAGCAGGAGAAGGGGCTCTACATCAACCGAGGCGGTGCGCGGGGCCGGGGCCGCGGCGGGGTGGGCCACTTGCCAGTCTCTAAGGCCTGGGCCTGGCACTTGTGGCCCCTGAGAGAGGGCGGGAGGAAGGAAAGAGGAAACATTTAATAGCCTCCGTCTCCCAGGGCACACTCTGGGTAATGTTGCGTTACCTGAATTGGCTACCGTCTCTTTAAAATGCTCAGAAATACGCAGCTGGGAAAAGGTGCCCAGACGCCCAGAAAACTAGGGGGACTGGGACCTCAACCGCCTACGGGCGTTATCAGTCACCAGCGTCAGGCCCCATCCCCCGGGCTGGAGCGGGCTGGGCCCCTAGGCATTGGGGGTCTCCCCAGCACTCAGCCCCCGCCCCCGGACCCTAGACTGCTTCTTCCAGCTGGGCCACCTAGCCTTTGCCGAGGCGGACTATAAGCAGGCGCTGGCGCTGAGCCCGCAGGACGAGGGCGCCAACATGCGCATGGGCCTGCTGCACGAGAAGATGGGCTTCTGCGAGCAGAAGCGCAGGTGCGCGGGCTGCGGCCCCCTAGTGGGCGGGGCCGGCCTGGGGGTGGGGCCGGGCCGGGAGAGGGGCGGGGC